AATATTCTGTGTAGCCCACGAGCTGGCTTACCAGGGAGGATCTTAACCTGCGTCTGTCTGGAACGGGAGAACCATGGCGACTCCTCACACAGCTTCTTTTTTCCCGCATTCTCCTCTGTCTACTCCGCCTACCTAATTTTCTATCCAATAAAATGGGCCAAGGCAGTTTCTTTATTAGTAAAAAATCATTCCCACATCATCTTCCCTTTCTGTTCACCGTTTCACTGAGCTCGTCTGCACAAATCTTCTTAATAAACTTACACACATGGGTTTGTTTGTGTCTCGTGCTCATTTCCGCAGGACATTTTAGCTGCAGGACTGGGTGGGATAGAAACTTCTATTTACAGCCTGGCATTAGTAGCCTGGATCTGTGGTGCAAGCCTCTATGACATCCTCAGCCTCCATGCATGAAAACCAATAACACAGGGATGACGAATTCTGCTATCTTAGGGTGTGGTCCCCTTGGAGCACAGCTGCAGCAGCCTCTGTGTGCTGAGCCCAGGGAAACGCTTTCCTGAGCAGTTGCTGTCCAGGGCAGGGAAATGCCCCTTCAGCATTCTCTCTTTCAGGATGTATTTGGATTTTCATAAGTTGGAGTCTTGGATGGGTGAGACCTTGCCTTTAAAGCCTTTTCCTACTGTCCCAGCACAGAGCAGGCGGCTCTCTTAACGGTTCAGCTTCTTTCCGTCTGTGGTTTTAAACTTACTTGGACTCTTTTCCTTAGGAAGTTGTACACCTTTTATATTTTTCTGCCTGTGGTGGTTTGTGTGAGAGACGTTCTCCATAAGTTTGTGTATTTGAATATTTGGTCCCTGATGTGTGCAGGGTTTGGGGACAGTTGTGATCTTTAGGAAGTGGAGCCTGGCTGGAGGAAGTATGTCATGGAGGTGGGTTTTAAGAATAAACAAACAAACAAAACAAAAACTAAAAATGTAAGTTCACTCTCTGTCTCATGTTAGTGGTCGATGTGACCTCTGGGCTCCCTGCTCCAGCCCCTGCTGCAGCAGCTTCTCTCCCATTGGAAACCACTCCTCTGAAATTAACTCTTTCTTCTATAAGGTGCTTTGGTCATGGTATTTCATTCCAACAGCAGAAAAGCAACTAATATATGCCATTGGTGTTCCTTTTCACTGTAGTGCTAAATGCGGGCCATGAGCAATCACTGTGCCACAGACTGAATGTAGTCCTGCCTCGGAACCTTCTTCTGCTGAATAAGCCAGTCTATCACTTAAAAACTTATTATATTTTATTTACTCATGTGTGGGGTGTGGGTGGAGTTGTCGATGTTGTTATCAGGGTTATAGTGTGCATCTTGAGTTGTTGGTGACCTCCTTCCACCTTCTGAGTCCCAGAGACTGAACTCAGGCCAGCAGGATTGGTGTCAAGCATCCTTATTTACTGAGCCATCTTGCAGGCCCAGTCTATCACTCCTAAACTCCACCTCACTGAAGTTCTCAGGACACAGGCAGAATTTAGCCAGAAAACAAAGACTTGTAATTGCATCCATACTGTTGAAAGATCCCCGGAGTTGAGAGATCTCACTCAAGTCTTGGGATAACATGACTCCCCCAAGAACTCACGAGAGACCTTCCTTGCTGTAATCACACAAGGTTCATTGACAGGAACAAGCACACAGGGGCCAAGACTTATATCCCACTCAGAGGTAGAAGAGTTCGAACCTGAGTAGCTGGGGAAAGGGGTATTTAAGGAAAGAAACCACAACCCAAAGAGGGTAGGGAGGGCGTCATTGGAAGATTCTGAAAATACCAGTGATAATCACAAGAGGGTAACTCCCTGTTTCTCAAGATTGTTCTCAAGATTATAATCTAACTCTGTGGTCAGCTAGTTCCTGGAACAAAGTCACTGAACCAGCTAACCTAGATTTTTGGCTTTACTCTTCCTGCTAGGGGGTCTGGATTTATCCTGGTCTTTCACTGCTGTTCCATGCAGCAATTTGCATATTGTTGGATTGTATTGTGTTGCGGGAGCTCCTTCCGCCCCTCCAACCAATAGCTGCTGTGATACCAGCCCATTGGGGCGTGGTCTCTCTCCCTTTAAAAAAGCGGCTATTTCCTCTGCTCGCTCTCTTCACTTCCTGCTCCGCCGGAGACTAGACTCCCTTCCTGGTTGTGCAGATGGCTGTTGTCTGGGACGGTGATCTGTAAGTTTTCCCCTTTAAATAAATAACACCCTATTAATCATAACTCCAAACTGGTGTGGCCTTGTTCGTGACTTACGCCTTCAGTATTGTGTTGGAATATTTGGGGTTTTTATTATAATTTACTTTAATTTTATGTTTATTTGTGCTTTGCCTGCTTGTATGCCTGTGTACGACAGTTGTGAGCTGCCGCGTGGGCGCTCAGAATTGAACCTGGGTCCTCTGGAATAGTAGCCGGTGCTCTTACCCTCTGAGCCAGGTCTCCAGCCCATCTTTCTTTGTTTTTTAATTGCTATTTGAGTAGACTTGAATTTCACCTTTTAAAAAAATCATTCAATGAATTTTGGTTTACAATTACGACAGAATTTCCAATGATTTATGAAATTACCTTGCTTTCATTCTTTTTTTTTTAAAAAAAAGTAAAGCAATTGTTTTATTTTGTGTAGATGAGGTGGGGGTGTTGCCATGACAGTCAGTGGAGGTCAGAGGACAACTGCTCTCCGGGAATCTATCTCAGGTTGCTCTTCCTACCAACTGGGAACCAACCCCAGCCCCTTTGCTCTGTCTCTTGCTTTTCGTCTTGCTCTGGTTTTTAGACTACTGATTTCAAGGAATAAAATGTTCCCTGAAAAATGTGGCATTCTGGTAAAGACCAGTGTTTTGGTTAAACCAAACAGAACTTCATGCCACACAGAAATGCAAACACGCAGCTGCGGTATGGAGCGTGGGAATGCAGGCAGCTGTGGGTGCTACTGGGTGGGTCTGGAAAAGCCACCCCTGCCTGCCCTGCTTCCCCTGCCCTGTCCACTTCTGCAGAAAGGGGGACTCTGACGTCTCTAGCAGGAAAATGTGGAGGACCAGGGTGGAGAGATTAGACATACAAAGGAAGAATTAGGGTCTGGCAAATTAAACAAACAGCCACTGTGACCCCCAAGTTCCACACAGGGCTCCTGCAGCCTCTGTGCCTGTCACCCATCCTGAGCTCAGGGGTGCTCTGGAGCCTGCGTTTTTTATATTTTATTTTTATTTATTCATCTGTCTCAGGTAGCCCGTGCTGGCCAAGAATGACCTTGAACTTCTGATCCTTTTGCCTCCCCAGTGCTGTGCCCAAATAGTATTGGTTTATGGGTCATTGGGAATTTGTGCATGCTAGACATAGCTAGATGCAGCTCTACTGGCAACTCTCTAGTGGTAAGTGCATAGAAATCCAAGCGGTTTCAATACAGCAGACACCCCAGTTGAGACCTTTCCAAACTTTAAAATTATTATTACCAAATTAATGAGAAAATTACAGGGGGGTTGTCCATATGTCTCAGTGGATAAGAGCACTGTCTGCTTTTCCAGAAGACCCGGAGTTTGTTTCTCAGCACCAGCCTGGTGACTCATAACCATCTGTAACATTTGCAACTCCAGTCTCCAGAGTTCTGACACCCTCTTCTGGCCTCAAGGCACCAGGCACATACATGTATGTAGGCGAAACACTCATATACACAAACAGCAATCTCTTTATTACTTATATCACTTCCCACTTTTTCATTATGTAAATTTTATTGCTTTATTTTCAGTGCTGGGTTGGAAGCAGAGGCCTTGCCTGTGGTAAGAGCATGCTCTCCACTGGGCTCATCCTCACCCCTTGTGCATCGGGAGTCTGTCAGACTCCAAGACAAGCAGCACCAAAGCCACCTTTCTCTTGTAGAACTTTAAGACAATTCTGAAGCCATTTCTGACAACTCTCAGTACTTCCCCTCCTCCCCTGGGAACCAAGGGCATAACAGCTATGCATGCACGTACTGAGATGTTGGGAACTTTCCATCTCCCTGAATAGGGGCAAGATAATCCTTAGGAGTTGACTCAGTTACTGATGTTTTGACTTAGTCCCTGGGAAGGGGCAAAGTGACCCTCAGAAGTTTCCCTTTACCTCATCTGATCTGGCAACCACTCCTCAGCCAATTATTGGTAATAGTCTTTTTGACTATGAATAAGCCAATAATAATAGTTAAAGAACAACCCCCAGACACCCCTTCTTTCTGTGGTTTTCCCTTTAAAAATAGCCTGTACCAGACATTCAGGGTCTTCTAGCCTCCCGACTGCTGGAAAACCATGTCATGACAGAATTAATAAAATCCTCATGCTTTTACATCAGCTGTGATATGAGAGATAGTCTCTTGGGGTGACTCCTCCTCCTCGGTGATTGGACGCTAGGGTCCAACACTCTCCCCTCCCCCTAGGCTGTGTGTACACAACCACAGCTTATTTCTGTAAGAGCGCTGGTGTCTGAGCTGGGATTCTCAGGTGTCCAGCTGTGTCCCCAGCCCTCTTGTTACCTTCTGTTTCCAGGGGAGTCTCACTAAATTTCCCAGGACAGCCTTGAACTCAACTCCGTGGCTCAGGTAGATCTTGAGACGCTGGAGGTTGCCCCACCTCAGCCTCTGGACTAGTTGGGACTACTGCCCTAGGGGTGGGACTTATCCCTACATATGCTCTTCAAAAACAGACAAACAAACAAATAAAAACCCACATAGCAATGTTTCCAGCTAACTGTGGTAGTATACTCCAGTAATTCCTACTATTTGGGAAACTGAGGAAAGTGGATTAAATTTTATGCAAATTGGGCCAATTTGGAGAGATGCTCACACACACACACACACACAAGAGCTGGGGGTAGAGCTTAACGGTAGAGTGTTTGCTCTGGATTCAATTTTCAGTACTACAAAAAATTAATGGAGAAAGCAAGAAATGGAGAGAGGTAGAGAGGCAGATAGATAGACAGAAACAGAAAGAAACAGAGACACAGAGACTGAGGGCCTGAGAGAAAAAGAAAGAATTCCCAGGTATTAAGATCCAATATATAACTCAGTGATTTTTATTGCACAGTGCGGTCTACATGCATCCACTGTTGAAGGAAGAGGGGAAGAATGAGGATAATCCTTCTTCCAGGCTATATCCTCTTGATTTATCATCAAAGATGAGTGTGCCAGGATGAGGAGCAGGTCGGCCCTTCATTGTGGCATCCTGGAAAACCGGAGGGTGGAAGGTCCTGTCTGCTGGACAAACCAAGTGTCCTGAGTAGGTGCCCACTTGAGCCTGGAGAGGTGGTACCAGCATGGGTGTCCCAAGAGCTTGGCAGCCGAGGGGGTGGTGAGGATTACCGTGTGAGGTTCGAGAGACCTAGGAGTTAACTGTTTGAGGAGTAACCAGGGGAGAGCAGGACAGGTTCAGGGGCATTAGGGTCCACTGGTGTGGGGGCAGGGAGACAACTGTCAGCGTGTGAATGGAGAAGGGACCTTAAAAGAGAGAGGTAAGGTAGGTATCCCGCCAGTGAAGGAGTTTGGACTGGGAGATGATGGTTAAGGAGAAAGGGTCTGCCATAAAGCTTCTCAAAAGGGCTCAGGCCAGTAGGGGAATGTGTGGGTGACCCTGAGGCAAGTTAGGACAATGGGGAGAAGGGAGGGCCAAGATAACCTGAGTTCGATAGAGAGCTAGGTTAGCTGTTGTTTGATGAGTGAGTCCACCTTTCCCGAGGATTATGGATGGTAGAAGGTGTGGAATTTCCAGGAGATATTGAGAGCTTCTGACACGAGCTCCATGACCCTGGAAGTGAAGCCCATTGTCCATCTGGATGGTCCGTGGGACACCAAACCGAGGAATGATGTGGTCCAGGAGTACCTGAGCCACCACATCTGCTGTTTCCCTGGAGACTGGAAATGCTTCTAACCATCCTGTAAAAGTGTCCACAAGTGTTAAGAGATAATGGAGTTTTTTATGAATAGGCATATGAGTGAAATCAACCTGCCAATCTTTGCCCAGTTGGTGTCCGCGAAGCTGGTGTAGAGACTGACATATGTGGAGAGCCCCTTGTGGGCTGGCCTGGGCACACATCTGGCAGGAGGAGTGAACCTGTAAAATACAATCTCAGAGATGGGTGGGGTTAAAAGGGGGCTCCAAGAAGCAGAACAAAGCTTTGGGGAAGTGGCTAAGGATTTCTCCACCCAGTAAAGGTGCTGAGCAAGCAGGTATCACTAAGAAAGAATGAGAGAAAAATTGTCCTGTAAGAATGCAGGGCAGTGGCAAAGTTTTAAATGGGTGGGGGGACGGGTCCCTTCTACCCCCATAACTGAAATTGGTGAGGGGAATATAAGGCCCAGGTGAGATGTTAGAACAGAATAGGTAGCTCCTGTGTCCAAAATAAAAGTAATGGACTTACCTGTTACCTGCAGCTTTACCCTAGGCTTGGATAGGTTATGGGATAAACCAAGTCTCTGCAGCATCACTCCTCTGCAAGGCTGAGAAGTTCGAAGGCTGGCAGAGTTTCACTTGCCCATGTTGGTGAGGCCGGACCTCTGTGGCATGGCATAGAGGACAAGCCCACACAGGAGCATGTGATTTCCAGTGTCCAGGTTGCTGGCAGATAGGGTATAACCTCAGAGGAGGCATAGTGCAATATTATGCCACGTGACCATTTAGGCCACACTTGAAACAGCTTGCCTGTGAGGTCAACTTAGGCTGGGCTGCACCAGGGTTGAACCTTGTGGTTGGGTTTCCTTGTCCACCTTCCTGCAACCTTAGGGCAGCTGCTAAGGTGTGGGCCTGTAAGGTTAGCTGCCTGTTGCAGCTTTTTCCCATGGGAAGACTCAGCTGTTTCTTCACAGGCATTAAAAACTTTAAAGGCCATCTTCACCAATTCCTGTATAGGGATTTGGGGACCCTCCTCAACCTTTCTTAACTTTTTCTTAATATCTGGTGCTGACTGAGAAATAAAATGGGTAAGCAGAAGGATTAGTAGAAAAGGAACCTAGCCACTTTTCTATCTGAGAGAGATCTGGAAGAGAAAAGGGAAGATGAACTTTTATCATGCCATTGACTCCCACCACCTCCCGGACAGGTCAGAGAAGGGCGGAGCTATGGTGGGATCTGGTATGGGAGGAGACTGGGAAGGATTGGGAGGGGCCCAGTGTGCTTAGGGGGTCCAAGGGTGGGGAGATGAGGTAGGAGGGGGAGAAGAGGAGGAGGAGGAGGAGGAGGAGGAGGAGGAGGAGGAGGAGGAGGAGGAAGGTGGGTAAGGTGGAAGTTGACCTTAAACCTCTGGATTGGGAAGGGAGGGGTAGACAGGGAAGGAGAGGAATGTGGAGAATGTTGCTCCACGTGAGGAGGTTGGGTAGTGTGGGCTTGAGGGAGTGGGAGAGGGGGCAGTGCCTCTGGCTGCTTGTTCCAGCTGGAATTGTCGGGGTCCCAATTCCCAGATGACCGGGAATTTGAAGGTGTTGTGGCCTTAGCGGCCAAGACTGGTGCTGCGAAACACTGGGTACTAAGGGAAGGGCAAGAGCTCAGAGCCCAAAAACCATGGACATATGTAAGTTCTGGCCATTTGTCCTTATGGCGACAAAAAGTTTCTAGGTCCCAGAGGACAGTAAGCTCAAGGCTTCCTTCTGATGGCCAACGTGTCCCATTGTCAAGATTGTATTGAGGCCAAATCTTAGTGTATGGGATGTTATACCTTAAACAGGTCAGATACCCCCTGAATTCCCTGGTCCAAATTTTTTTTCCCTAATTTAACTTTGTTCTTTCTTTGTTCTGCCAATACCTTAAACAGGATAAGAGACACCAGACATTTTCATGCCACAAACATTGGACAGGAGCAAAGAGACCAGCTATGCCAGGATGTGGCCAGCACCTAGCCTTCTCTCAGGTTCCCCCCTCCCCCAAGATGACGCCCACAAATCAGCAGGAAGCAGTTTTGAGAATTTGCCACCCCAATTCCTTCAAATTGTGGTATCTAATCTCCTGCTTTTTATTATAAGGAAGACCTGGGAATGTTATGGTTTTGGTCCCTGGTCCCTTTAAGAGACAAGCCACGCCCACTCCCTCCCCCATCTGCTGAGGCAGGCTGATCTTCAGCTTCCAGCCTGAGTTCTCTCTCTTTTCCATCTTCCTCTCGGAGAGGCCGCTTCGCTTCTGCCTCTCTCCCCATTTCTCCACTCCCCCCCTCTTTCCTCTTCTCTCTCTCTCTCTCTCTCTCTCTCTCTCTCTCTCTCTCTCTCTCTCTCTCTCTCTTTCCCTCTCCCCCTTCTCCCTTCATAACCTCACTCTTCAAGTCGTGTCTATCCGTGTTTCTGTCTTCTGCCCGCCTGCCATATGTCTCCCTGCCTGGGACCAGCCATTGCTTGGGGACCGGCAGCCATCTCTGCCTGGGACTGGCTGCTCTTAGGGCCCATTGTTTGCCACCACATGGCCCGCTACCACCATTTGGGACCTACAGCATTTCTGCTGCCTACTGTCACCAGGGATCTTGCAGCATTTTTTAAAAATTTATAAAATAGGGAAATTAGCCGTTCTGGACAGATTGTATCAGACAGTCTCAATTTATAAAGATTTTGTAAGAGACATACCAGGGGCGACAGAGGATCTGGCGTTGAACTGCAAGTGCCCATTTTAAAGTCTACACCCAACCAAGTAGCCTATTACAGCATGTTCGCTAAAATACCTCTCAGGCCTAATGGGGTCATGGAAATTGAATGTTAGACGTCCCTGGAGCAAACAAAGTCTACCCCAGCCAGACCCTGTCTTGCCGGTCTGGCTGCTGCTGAAACCAAACTCTTGTCGTGAGCTCACAGCTTTAACAAGAATCTGATAATCGGGAGGATAGCTATATGTTTTTCTTTGGGATCACCTTCTTATTTAGCTTCTTTAGGAGATCAAATTATAGACTCACTGACCTTTATTTATCTCTAGAAACCAATTATGAGTGAGTACATCCCATGTTCATCTTTTTGGGTCTGGGTTACCTCACTCAGCATGGGATAAAACCGGACTCTGAATATGGCGGACAATGAGGGCTGCTGAGAAGCCAAGGACAATGGCACGGGGTTTTGATCCTACTTCATGTTCTGGCTTTGTGGGAGCCTAGCCAGTTTGGATGATCACCTTCCTAGACCAGGATGGAGCAGGGAAGACTTTGGACTTTCCACAGGGCAGGGAACCCTGACTGCTCTTCAGACTGGAGAGGGAGGGGGAGAGGAGTGGGGGGAGGGGGAGAGGAGAGGGAGGAGGGGGGGGAAAGGGAGACGGGGAGGGAAATGGGAGGCGAGGAGGAGGCAGAAATTTTTTTTCAATAAAAAAATTATATATATATAAAATAAACCTAAATACTTAATTCGACAAAAAAAAAGAATCTGATAATCGACAAAAGTAAGTATGAATGGGTCCCCTAAAAACCCTATAGCATAGACAAGAAAAAGGGACTCACCAAGACACAGATGCTGTAGCTTGGTGTGGAGAGCTCAGGTTGTGGCCTACGGGACTTTTGATGTGTGGCCTAGGGCCACACAGAAAGGTGGCCCATCCCAGTGGGGCCTCCAAGATGTTATGAATTTTTCCTAATGCAAGCTCTCTGCCAACACAAAAATCCCAATCAAGCCAAATTAAGAAATATCCAGGTTTAATGGGATTCCTGCACCCTCAGGGGGCCCTGAGGGAGAACCAGGAGGCCACAAACACCACCATGGGGTTGGGGGGAGAGGAAAGAGACCATAAGAAAACTTTCCAGGGAAGCAGTTTAAATAGACTGAGGGTGTGGTCAAGATTTTGGCAGGCTCATCTTGACCCTACTCTGGGGAAGGGTCAGGACTTGGTGGGCACAGGAATGGGGCCTCCAAAGATGGAGGCCAGAGACCAGGGCTTACACCTTCATTGTGTATTCTTGTTCGGGTCATTTTTAGAATTAGAGTTTAGAGTTAAATTCATTTAACTGAATTTGACCTCCTTGATAGAGACGCAAAAGGATAATTACTCATTTTAGGAATCCAAGGTCAAGACGCCCCAGCTACCTTAGCCTCTGTTAAACACCAGCTTGTGCAGCCTCCCTTCCAACTAACTGCTTATCTTAGTTTCTGTCCAACTGCTTGCTTGCACAAACCTCCCCCTCCCCCCGGAATGCAGAAAAATATCAGGTTTTGTTTTTTTGGTTTTTTGTTTGTTTGTTTTGTCTTGCTTTTTTTGCTTTTTTTTTTTTTTTTTTTTTTTTTGTTTTTTTTTTTTTTTTTTTTTTTTTTTTTTTTTTTTTTTTTTTTTTTTTTTTTTTTTTTTTGGTTTTTTGTTTGTTTGCCCTTAAAAGCCCCTTACCCTAAACACTTGGGTTCTGAATATCTGAGTGTAGTCCCAGCTGGCTGGAATAAAAACTTTCAATTGTTCTATAAACTGTGTCTGAGTGGTCATCTCTGATGGGCACCTGTTAACAGTTTGAGGGTGTAGTCAACCATGGTGGGGACATCATGGTGGCAGTCTCCTGTAGAGGCTGGCCACTTTGCATCCACAGCCAGGAAGCAGACAGAGATGAATGCTGGAGCCTCCTTTTTCTCCAGTCCAGGATCCCAACCCAAGGAATGGTGTCACCTATTGTTACAGTGGCTCTTCCACCCCAATTACCCTAATCTAGATAGACTCATCTTCCAGGTAGTTCTAGATCCCGTTGAGTTGACAGTCAATATCAACTATCACTCCAGCTTATCCATAACACATTTTTTTAAAAAATATTTATTTATTATGTATACAGTATTCTGCCTGTGTGTATCCCTGCAGGCCAGAAGAGGGCAGCAAATCTCACTGCAGATGTTTGTGAGCCACCATGTGATTGCTGGGAATTGAACTCAGGACCTCTGGAAGAGCAGGCAAAGCTCTTAACCACTGAGCCATCTCTCCAGTCCCTATAACACATTTTTTTGCTAGCTTTTGTGTAGTACTTTTTGCTTTGTTGGGCCTTATAAACTTTTAATGTTTTTGTTACTTTGGCATCTTCATTTGTGGGTTACTGTAACATGGAGGGGGGCCAGGCCTGCTTGTTTGGGTTTCTGTCCCCCTCTAAAAAAAAAAAAAGAAAAGAAAAGCGAAAATATCCATAGTCCATTTTTTAGGAATGTGGGCATCGTATTTTAGGCTACTTCCAGCTGGTTGGGGGCGCTGATAATCTTATGGGGCCCTAAGGAAAATTTAGAGTTATGATCAAGTCCTGACTGAAGTATCCTGTGAGTCTTGATCATCTCAGGCAGCAGTCTTGAACCTGTTCTGGATGAAGAACTCAGACATCTGACTTCTCAGGTAGTCTTCCTTGATCAAACCTGATTTTTCATATCTCAGAATGAATCCACAACCTCTCATTTTCTGTGGAAACAAAAGCAAAATCTCTTCTCCAAAGTAACATACCTTTTGACTTCAATTTTGAAGCCAAAATATTTTCAAAATACCTATCTTGCACTAATTCAACAGCATTTATAAGCAAATATCTTTTAGCAGCTGTTGCTCCTTCCTTAGCATTCACACAATTTAAAGAGAGCATAATAACATACAGAATCAAGATTCTCTGTGTATTTTCCATCTTTACGTGGCTTTATTTTAACCTCTATTTCTTTTATTTTTACTTTTACTTTTTGAGACAGGTTCTCTGTATATCTTTGTTCTGAAATAACTCTGTAGACCAGGCTGTCCTTGAACTCACAGAGATCCATCTGTCTCTGCCTTCCATGCAAATCCTACGGGCATGTGCCACCACAACGGGCTACTCTCTTTATTTTTTACTTTGAGAGCTTTAACCTTTAGCCTGTATATATATTTTAACACACTGTAAACCATTTAGAGGTTGTCTTCCTCTTTGAATCTCTCTTTACTGTATATCTCTTTTTTTCTGACCACATGAGCCTTTAATTCCGTAAGCAATCATGGCTGAAGTACTGGCCGAAGCCATGTTTATTGCCATAACTCTATGGCCTTTCAAGGTCCTTGCCAGGAAGCAAGCTGCAAC